GCCGATTCCTCGCAAGGATGTTCTGCAGAACAACTTGGTAGGCTGTACGCTGTACAGCGCGCTCGACTTGGTCGATGGCTACTACCAATTGCTCATGAGAGCGAGCGACATTCCGCTGACAGCGGTGAGTACTCCGAGCGGTATGCTCTGGGAGTGGCTGGTGATGCCCCAGGGGCTGTCAAACGCACCAGCAACGTTCAATCGTCTTGTGACGCAGCTGTTTAGGCCCCACCGGGCGTACGCTCAAACGTACTTTGACGATATATTCGTCCATAGTCGTGCCGAGCACGGAAAGTCAGACGTGGATAACCACATTGACCACTTGCGAGCGGTGCTCGAGTGCATGCGCACTAATAAGTTGTATGCCAACTTGGACAAGTGCGTCTTTGGCGCGGAGGAGATACCTTTCCTCGGGTGCTTCATTGGGAAGCGTGGCTTACGGGCAGATCCTGCCAAAGTCAAGGCCATCGTGGACTGGCCCGGTTCCCAAGAACCAAAAAGACTTACGCAAGTGGCTAGGCTTAGCCAATTACTTGCACAAGTACAGTGCGAACTACGCGGAGATGGCTCGGCCATTATCAGATCTCCTTAAGAAGGACGCACCATGGTGCTGGAGCGTCGAGCACGACGGAGCCTTTGAGGCTGTGAAGGAGAGCCTTCTCCAGGCTCCGATCCTTGCGCTACCGGACCCGGATAGTCCGTAAAACTTGAACATTTATTTCGCTTCACAGATATTCACAAGGGTTAAAGGGTTAATACGGTAGGTGTAAGTCTACACACCAACAGCTACCACCTATTTCATTGTAAGCATGTCAATCCACACGTCTTACATATACTCATTTTCGGGCCTTCATTATCATTATTTTATAAAGAATGTCAGCAATTGCTCTCAAATTTTTTAATTTTCGATGCATCTTGCCCTTCAAGATGAAGGGCGATTTTTTTGGCACTAACTCTGCATTATAAATTCAAAATTATTTTTGAGTTTATGTCGGTCGCCAGCCCCCCCCCCGCCCAGTAGCAGCACTGCATACGAGATTTCCTGCAAAGGCAAATCCGTCGGCGGAGCCATTAGCATGAAACTAGCCAATTTTGGCATCCTTTATTTCATTTAATTTGATAAATTGAGGTTGTGCATTATGTGGACTACCAAGCCGCACTGTTAATCAAGTGTCCACCTCTTCCTGCAGTCCTCCCAGCCATAGCATAGCATCCTAGTTCTCCATTTACTTCTATAGGAGTAGTCAGGGCTAATCTTGCTTAAACAACTCTGTTGGGCTGCAATGGAGCTCAAAGGAATAAAAAAAGCTGAGTGCTTTTAATTAGTTTTTTCTAGCATTGCTTTGTAAAACACAGTGAAATCCAAACGTTGTTGCCTGGTACAAAAAATAAAAATTTAATGCACCGTCTGTGAACCTGTTCGACCCGACCTCACTTGTTCGGGAAACTAAGAGGAGATGACAGCGAGCATGAAGAAAGCAAAGAAGCGTTGTCGCCCGATAAACCATAAGCGCTTGCATACTGCTCTATTAATAATTTCATTGTAGACGTCTACTTTTTTGTAAGCTAACCATTTTTGGAGCAACGCAAAAGCATCGGATAGCTTCAGAAACTACACTTCTCTATTGCTGTATTGGCTAGTCCTGCTGGACTATTTCGTTTGGTTCTACGTTGTGCGCCATATCCATACAGACTTTCGAGTAGCTTGTTTTCAAGCCAAGAACCTTAAACAAGTGATGTCGCCTTCACCCTTTCTCCTTTTGGTTCGTCTCGACATGTGGCTCACCTTTAAGCGCTATTAATCGGAGGCGGAGCGGTCGCGTAAGGATAGCCACCATTGTTAGGCCTGCCGTAATAAATTGGCCCATTGGCGGGGGTTGGAGTTACTGGTATCGGCACGTCTTCGCTCGGTTTGCTGCCTTCATGAATGTCCGGGGCAGGCGTGGGGTAAGGATATCCACCGTTGTTAGGACGTCCGTAGTAGATTGGCCCACTTGGCGGAGCAGGCGCCTCGGTCTTGTTCTCACATGGCTTTGTTGCCTGCGGCGTGGCGGTGGGGCACGGATAGCCACCGTTATTGGGCCTTCCGTTGTAGGTTGGTACGCTGGCAGGGGCGGGAGCTACATCAGAAGCTGCAGCAGGGTAGGCCAACAGGGCTACAGCTACCAGGGAGAGGAACGTGACGGACTTCATCTTGGGCGCGGGCCTTGTTGTGGAGAGACAAAGCTGAGTCACGAACAGCACAACACAACAGAGCCAGCTCATGCTCGAGGTTTGAGATGGGCTCTTGAATCAAGACTCTTAAGTCTTGATTAGACACAGTCTAATCAAGAGCACAATCTGTGGTGATTTCCATCGGTCTTTCGCTAAATGATGACACTTCAGATGAATCTGTCTATTATTAAAAACAAGAGAATTGGGTTATGATTTACCGGTATCAATATCATCTAAATTCGGTGCTGTGAATAATAATTATTTCGTCATTCTGACTTTGAAAAAATATTATTGATATTATTTAGTATTTCTAAGATGTTTTAAAAACGTTTCAAGTGGATTTTTTAGTGCAAATATTTCAATTGATTTTAATAGAAAGCGATGTCAGCTCTCAGCGAAAACTGAGAAAAAGGTTGTGAGAGGAACTGACCACTTATCGCAGAAATTTCACTACTGATCAGTCATAGGGGGGGAAGCATGACCGGTATTCGTGGGCTTGTCCCGAGACCAATTAAAACCACCTTGACCTGCTGTGACCGTCACGACTTCAACCTGTCCGGTATCACGTATGTGGGCGCTAGCCCGAAGCCGCGCACCCGAGTTTGATATGTCGCCCGCGGAACTAAGGGTGGCAAATAAGAACA